ACCAATCTAACAAAGACATCCAGTGTTACGGGTCTGAATAAGAACAGAGGGAATCTTGGGGGAAGCAGTTGCTACTTATAAAACCAAGGAGGTTAGTTAGCGGTGGAAATAGTTATTCATAAATTCATGGGTGACATATTTAAATATAAAGGATGCACCAACTGGATACAAGAGTCAGGAAAGTTCTAGGGGGGACAGTGTTGAAACAAGTGAGGCTCTGCTCTCTGCAGCATCCTGACTGCCGTACTGCAGGAGCAAAGCCAAGGTGGGACCACAGGACACTCAGCAGAGAAGGGCACTTTGCAGACTAGGGGGCTTAGGGAGTCTTTCTGGAGAAGTGGTGTTTAAGCCTCGCCTTGAAGGAGGGACAGAGAGGTGGAGAAGGACACTGAGAGGACCCTAAGATCTGCTGGCCACCTGTCTGCCCCTCTACCTGCCCAGCACAAAAAGAACCAGGCACGAGGCCAGCAAGGACAAAGGGATAATTACTCCCCACCAAGGCTGTGCGTCTTGATCCACTGGACCCTGGTTTTCAGAATGCATGTGCCAAGCTCCAGCCAAGACAGCAGGAATCAGAACTGTAGGGCAGGGCTTGGTCTTCCCTGTGCTTTGAGGGAAGGCTCCCCAGGAATTCTCAAGAGCCCTCCCACTGCAAAAGCTGTAGATTCTCTCCAGTATCTTATTTTTCAAAGTGAGACAAATGAGGCCGAGAGAGGCCCCACTTATTCAGCCATTCGGTGACTACTGATTGGCTAAGGCAGTGACTGAACAAAGCACCTGCTCTCAGTACAAGTTCTTATCCACTGAGTCCTTGCCGTGACACCACAGGGGATGACTGTCACTCCCCCCCACCCCCCTTCTTTAAGACAAGGAAATTGAAGCATAAAAAGCTAAGGGAACATGAACAATCAGTGGTGAAGTCGAAGTTGAGTCTTAGGACTCTGAGACACAGCCCCACTTCAGCACTGCTTACTGAGAGCCTCCAGGGCACCCTGCCCTGCGCAGGCATGTGGGTGACGCATATGCTCAAAAAAATGGCCTCTGACCTTAGAAGAGGGGGACATGGAGTGAAGGGCAGTGGATAAAAGCTTCGCGCCAGACTGCCACTAAAATCATTCCGGAATGTTCCATGTGCAGAGTCCAACCAGAGTGCTGAATCAGGGATTCATCTAGACTGGCTCCGAGGTGGTTCCCCACCCAGACAGCCATGGGTCAGAACCATCCCTTACAGAATAAGCTGGGGGCGGGGTGGAGCTGAGCAGTCACTTCTCCCTTGGGGTCTCAGTGAGATCCAAATTAAGAGGCTGAAATGAAGCCTTGTGGTCCCCCGCAGCTAGTAGGAGTGATAAACAGCGAGATGTATTGGTCTCCAGCAAAGACAGCACCACAGAAAGGAAATCGCACCAGGAAACCGTTCCCAGGTTCCAGTGAAGAAGCTACTATATCTCCTTTGGCGGAAGAAACAGAACACAGCCCTAAATTCAGAGCAGGTAGGCATCAGCCCCAGGCCAGGGCTACCACTTCTAGCCATGTTAGGCCAGTTACTTGGGCACAGTCACCCAGACAGAAAATGGCAACCGGCAAAGGTTTCTGTGATTATTTAATACAAAGTTTGGAAGATGCTTCCCATCTTACCTGGCACACGACAGGTGCTCTACCAATGGCTGGTGCATCTGAATGTGTCTCTTAATGTAGGTCCTGAAAAACAGAAAGGCCCCTTTAAGGTTACATATCAGATGACCATGACCGGCATTATCTTTTTTTATCCTCCTTCCCTCAACTTTTGTTTTGCTAAGGGCAAGCAGAAAAGGACCAAATAACATCATGGACTCCAAGTTCCTGGAGCAGACAGCAAGGTGGCCTCTGGGAGCTTTCTTTTATTTTAAGCTGGAAGACAAAAAGTATTCTCCTCAAGGACAGGAGAAAAATCCATTAGTGGGACTTAACTGGTGAGGAAGCCCACAAATTACAGAATTCAAAAGGTGTGAGCAAGAAATATTCCCAGGGAACATTCAACTGTAAGAAATGATCAGTCAGAAAAAAAGCTATCTGAATTATGTGTACAGTTTCTGTAAGTTTCCTAGGAAAAGAACTAAGGCAATATTTACTGAAACTGTTCTTACTGTGCTTATTGAAATTGTCGATAGGTAAATGCTAGCAATTAGTAATTAGTGTTCTCCTAAATAGACAAAATGCTTAAGTAGAAAATGATGATCGATGGGACCAGACAGAATCTCTGGTCTCTCACACAAGAGATCTCACCTCCGACATCATAAAACCTATGACCACCATCCACTTCTCAGGATCTGGGCTTGAGAACAAACAGCCAGCACCAAGGGAGCTCACCCTGCAAACTCAAACCTGCATCATGATACCAACGGATGGCTGTACTTGCTAATTTCAGAACGGCATCGCAAGATTGCTATTTTTAAAATATGAACACGAAGACAAGAGCTCTGGAAGTAGATCCGCAGATGAAGAAAGCACATTTGGGGGAAAATAATGGCACCAACAGGACATGTCAGATACAAGGCCTTCACCTCACATCGGGGCCTCTGCTGGTATAAACTGGGTCCTGGCGAGGCTTCTAGGAAAAGGGCTGAGAAGGGACCCAGGAATAGGGGCCTGCTCCAAGGGGCCAAAGCAGCCTTACACTTAGGAAGGGCCACGCTGATCTAAAATGCTTCCCCTATAGGTAGAGTAACCTGAGAAGTAAAGAGAAGTGAGATGATGAGCATCAAATAGAGACCTGAGTTTAAACCACCTGGGACCTTGTTCTCAACTGATTAATAACGTCAACAACATGTAGCCAAAAGGTGGAGGAAGCTCATCCAATGTAGCCACAAGGTGGAGGAAGCAGCCGTCCACAGAAGGCTCATCAAGGCCAAATGCACAGACGAAAGAGTAAGCAAAGGGGCACTGTGCACATACACACCATAGAGTATTACGCAGCTTTAAAAAGGAGGAGATCCCGTCCCACGCTGCAACCAGGGTGAACCTTGAGGACATTACGGTAAATGAAACAAGCCAGTGACTAGAGGACTAATACTAAATGATTCCACTCATATGAGGTTCCCACTACGGTCAAGTCCAAACAGAATGCTGATTGCCAGGGAAGGACTAGATATCATTTAAGAGATATGGACTTTCAGTTCTGCAAGATGCAAAGAGTTCTGGAGATGGGCCCCACAGCTGCATGAAATGCACCTCACGCCGTTGAACTGTACACATTAACAACAGTAAGACAGTCAACCAGATAGATAGATAGACAGTATGTTATAATCTAAAAAATCTTTTTAATTTTGTAAATCAATAAACTGATGCCTAAACCCAAGGCTTGACATGAGATTTAGATAAGGAGCTGGCCTGTACCATCTAAACACAGGCCCTGGCACAAGGTAAGGGCTCAAATAGGTGTTTGTTCCTCCCACTGTCTTCACTTTCAAAGTAAGAACGCAAGCTGTGGGCAGAGAAGCGAAGTGCCTGGGGGAGTAACTAGCAGTTGGGAAATCTGGTTCAAATCTGGTTCACCACATCCTGGTTCAAAACGGGTTTCTCCTCTCAACAGCAAGGGAGGGGGAGGACTAAGGAAGGTCAACTAACCTCTCCAGCAGCCTGTTAGGATGTAGACTCCGATCTCAGAGAGGATGGTCTGTGAATCAGTGTGTGGCCCACACCTAGGGAAGTGCCTGGTCCACAGTGATCTGGCCTCAATGGTCTTCCCAGGGCAAAATGGGAACAAAATCATCATGTCCGAATTACCAAGCCTCTGCCCTGACCCTCCTTGTGCCAGGCCACTGCTCCAGCAACATCTGGAATGACAGATCCACCTGCTAGCAGCAGCCTGCAATGGAAACCCCGAGGGACACTGCCAGCCCGGGGCCTCTCTGCAGACCTGCTCTACCACACCTTGGCCATGATCCCTACTCTTATGTCCACACACCCTCATTACAGCCCTGGAGAGTGAGGCCTGCACTCCTGGACGCTCCCTCCAGGGAACCTTCATCCTGGACTCTCAGGGCAGACGAGATTCCAAAGCCTCCACCCCGGATGCCTCTCTTGTTTCTTCCTTTCCTTCCACCTTCCTTAGTCCCATCTGTGCGCCAAGGGAAAGGTCAGTAAGCCCTGCCCCATCTCCGCACTCTCAACAAAGCTGCCCGCTGGCAGAAAACTGACATCTGCAAGGAGATAACAGCTCACTTGTTTCTCTCTCCATCAACTTGGTGGCCCAGCATAGCTGCCACCTGGGCTGAGGATGTCAACCTTTGTGAACACCTGCCCCAAAAGGGCCCAAGGCCTGCACCTCTGCTCCTGTTCCCCCGTGCCCACTGCTCAGCCACCTACACACACCCACACCCACACAGCCTACACCAGCAATAACAGCACAAGGAATCAAGAACAGCACATGGCAGCATGTCACTAGAGCCCAAGCCTTAGGGTGATCCCCCACAGAATGGACACACTGACAGGACAGGCCTGGCCTCGCCACGCCGCAGTGAGGATCCTCAGCTGTCCAATCGTAAGACCTGTCCTACCTCAGATGTGGTGCCACACCTAGATCTGCCCCCAGAGCTTCACTCCAACCCCACCACCTCTTGCACCAGCAAATATGTTTATAATAATCATATTTAATATAACAATCACTCAGCCGGGATTATAGAACACACTCCTGCTCACTACTCTTCAGCTAGGGAAAACCACGCAGCCCTACAAAGGGCCAGGAGACGGTAACATTCCTGTGTCCGCAGAAGAAGAGAGCTGGATCTGGGTGAGAAGCAGCAGTTTCTCGCACCAACATAGTCCTCTGTCCTCAAGAGCTCCCAGGAGATGAGCCACAGAAGTTCCCAAGAAGAAAACCTGATGGAAGATCTGTAGCAAAGGCTCACCAAGAGCCCCGCCTGCAGGAGCGGAGGAAGATGCCCCGGTCCTGCCCGGGAGCCCTCGGTGCAGGAGGGCGCATCACCAAGGAGGGGACACCCAGACAATGTCATGCACGGTGCAGAGGATCTTGCCATGGGGCATTTCAGCAACCACTGCTCAGTGGCCTCAAAACGGCTCCTGGCCTTGAATGGCACTGCAGTCTCGTCTTGTCCAGTGTCAGGGCTCCATGAGCCTGTGTACCTGACACAGTGACTGCCAGGAGTCACCAGGACCACAAGGAAGCAGCTCAGCACCAGCCAGACACCCGGGGCCCAGGGGAGGCAGTGTGGGTTGAGATCTCAGCCCTGCTGCGTGCTCTCGGGAGCTAGCATGATGCTGTCTGTGGGCCTGACACTGTGAAATAGAAGCTCTTTTTTCAGGAAAGCTGTGTTTTCATTAACAAAACAAATCTATGAACAAAGAAGGGGCAGTCTGTGGTCAAAATTGTGAGCAGATATAAAAAACGCTCAAAACAATATTGATGATTAATGTTATTATTATACCTAGAGATCTACAGGAGGTAACACGTCCCGAGTGCTTCCCACATACCAGGCTTTAACAAAATATTCCCATCCTATTTTACAGATGACAAAAGTGAGGAACAGAAGTCAACTAAGTTGCCCAGGATCGTGTGAAGGTGTTCCAGAAAGTGGCTTTGTATTAAGCCTCAGCAGGGACTTCACCTGCAGCATAGAGGCAGACAGGACCACAGACACCAACAGGAGAGGGTTCAAGTCTCAGCTCGGCCACTCAGTCCCTGCTTGATCTTGGGGATGCCTCCTCCGTAAGCCTCACTTCGTTTCTAAAGTGCAGATTAATGTAGCCTCATCTGGCAACGGAGATAATTAAAATAACACGAGAAAGCGCACTGCACAGAGAAGCTCTCAATAATGCTGGTGTCTTTCTTTCTTTGGTGGCAGAGGGGGCCCCAGACCTCTCAGCTTGCCCAGTTTGCCCTGTCACGATTGGGGCTGGGGGAGGGGAGGAGAGTGGAGGACGACACCGGGATAATACCGTCCCCATTTCCAGGGGTCCTTCTGTGCTCTGGTGAACTTTACCAGAAATAAAAGGGAGGCACGAGTGCCTTTATTTTCAAAGGATGGCAAATCAAGGTTCCTGAACTTGAAGACACCAAAAGAAACCTGGGGGTTTAAGGTAGCCACATGTTTGGGCCCACTCACGTGTAAGTACAGCTTTAAGGGAAGGCAATGTCAACATGCAGCGCCCCACATCTGTTAATCTGGCAGAATGAAAGCCTCCCGGGGTTCCCAGTGGACATGACACGTGTGAGGGGGGATCCGCGTCACTGAACTTGGCTCCAGCCAGGGGTGCAGCTCCCCTTTCTTCTTCCACTGCTTGGCAATGGCTCATGGCAGAACCCACCCTGAGGGGCAGAGAGGAGGAAGACGGGAGGTCTGAAAGGCAGAAAGACCCTTTAGATCCCTGAAGACTGCTAAAGCCCCTTCCAGATTTAAGGGGCTCCAACTTACCTAGACCAGTGTTTTCAACCTTTTTAATCTCCTGGCATACTTGAACCGATAGTTAAAGTATGCTGATCCAAAAAAATGAATAAACAAAAAAATATATACTTTGCTTTGAACTTCCTTCAAAAATAATTGAATTAATGATCCTTAAAAATTATTGTGGAACACTGACCTAGATAATCCTAGAGTCCCCACTAGTGCCTACAATGGAGCGGGGTCCCATCCCAGGGAGGACAGGGAGGCCCCTATTCTCAGGGGGGTTACAACAAAGATGCAACAAAGTGCCACGCTGAG